GCAGGAAAGTTGACATTTTAAACCTTAATAAAAAAATCGATTCAGGGCTTTAGAATATCGATACAGTATCGGGAAATGAAATATTGCGATAATTGAGTGTATCCATATTTTCTTACACCCCTAGTTGGCATAATAATTGATGGTATTCTTTTTTATTTTTATTTTTTGAGCAACTAGTTTGTTATACCACCCCATGTGAAATGTAGTTAATTATTATCAATTACCGGTAAGCACTCCCTCACCTTCAAAGTCATCTCCTCTTAACAGTGTGTAGAAGTTGAAAGGATTAGTAAATCTGGAGTATTTTTGTTTTCAGGGCTCTCTGAAGGACACTCAATAGATCAGTTTTATGGATCTAAGTGCTTCCTGGCCTGTGGCCTTTTATTTACAGAAGTAAAACTGCACACTCACCTATTTATATAATTGTCTATGTTGTGAATAATGTAAGGGTGTTATTTGTGGTATAATGAACAGATCAAATCACAAAGTTGGGGTGATCACAATTTAAAAGTCTAATCGGCTGCTTCTGGTTGTACACAAATCTCATGTATCCATGGTTACTGATCATAAGACATGTTGAAGATGTGCCTTGGGTATCAGGAGAGATCACTGAGGCGMGGCAGCACAACATTTAATCCAGCTTAGACAAATCTTTACCAATTTTTCAAAAAGCACAAAAATGACCTGATCTTCTGCAACAATTGCTGCCACATATCCAACATCATTTTGAGATCAGAATATAACTTGATTAAATGTCTTTGATCATGTTTCTAATACTGCCAGGACTGAAGTGGAGGTCAGAAGATGACAGCTGTTTATAAAGAGGACCAGGAAGACTGGTTGACTGTGTGTCTGAAGTACTTGCTCTTTGTTTTCAACTTTCTCTTTTGGGTAAGTTACATTTTGGTCGTATTCAGACATGATAATTTGCTCCACTTTAAACGAACCAGAGTTCATTTCCAGCGTTGGTCCGGACCTTTTGTGCAGGTGTGAATACACTCATGCGAACTCTGGTGCGGTTTGTTCCAGTTCTCTTCTGGTGTGAATACAGACCAGACTCTAACCGAACCAACTGCATTAAACATGCACCTTTTTGGACTTCACGGGCCGCCATTGCTGAGCTAAATAAACTGAAAACATACCTGTTTCGTCGTCTCCTGTTAGCAGCTCTACTGCCAGCATGTTGTGGGTCAGAACATGCAGAGCACCTCGGCTGTGTCCAAAACGACAGGCCGGGTCCTCCGGAGGACCC